GTAAGTATATAAGCACACACAGAATTTGGTATGTGGATGTAAAATATAGCATCATGGGAAAAAAAACTTCCACTATAAAACAAAGTAGGGCCATTGAACAGATAAAGCCTGAACTCACTTTGAACGCCAAGATGACAAAATTGAGGCTGACATACTTCGGCCACATCATGAGAAGACAGGACTCACCAGAAAAGACTATTATGCTAGAGAAATTGGAGGGTGGTAGAAAGAAAAGAAGACCTCATGTCAGATGTTGACAGTGAGAGCTGTTCGACAGTGGAACACACTCCCTCAGAGTGTGGTGGAGTCTCCTTCTTTGGATATCTTTAAACAGAGACTGGATGGCCATCTGTCAGGGATGCTTTGATTTTGAGTTCCTGCATGGCAGGAAGTTGGACTGGATGGCCCTTGGGGTCTCTTCCAACTCTATGATTCTATGGTTAGACTCAGTCAGGAAGTCATGGGCTTAAACCTGTAGGATCTGAGCAGAGCAGTTGAGCATGGGGGGTTTAGTCTTGGAGATGTCTCATTCACAGGGTCACCATGAGTCAGTCAACTTGAGAACAGCTAACAAAAACAGTGGCTAGGAAGATACACAGTACAATTGTATGGACAATATGTGGAGAAATAAAAGTTCAACAGGGTTTTAAATGGTTGAGGGGCAATAGTGCCTCATTGAGCTTATAGTCCTCTGTCTGCTGAGCAAAATAAACCTATACAAGGTTAATAAAAGAAAGGCCTAATAAGTAAACACCAACTGCATAGAATGAGTGATCCTCCAGATGTTGTTGGACTACAACTCCCAACATCACCAAGAGTGAGGAATGCTGGAATGTGCAGTCTAGCAACATTTGGAGGGTTGCACATTTCACGTTCTTAGCATACATTGTACTGATTGAAGCAACTAGCCTTTCTTGGCACAGAATTTGGGGCAGCATGGTGTTGCCAGCTAAGGACACACAGGCCCAGAAAAAGGAAGAGCCAAGTTCAATTTCCAGTTCTCTTGTGACCCTTATGAGTTAGCTATAAAATGAGGGTCAGATTCAGAATGTTGCAGAGTAACTGCATGCTGTAAGGAAACACCATTATTAGCCTCTCACTCTTACAGGCAAGCTAGGTGCTGGATTTAAGCTGGTATTTAAGATGGTCAAACTCTGTTCCCTTGCTTTGTAGCTCCTGACCAGAATCCATCAGAAATCAAAGGAGAGGGAAATGAGACCACTAATATGATCATCACTTGGACGGTAAAATATTAATATTTTTTACATCAATTACACCAATTACATTTCTTACATCAATTACATTTGCCCATCCCTCACATCCTGCTATCCTGTCCTGCAATGTCAATGCCACTGGCACAAACTATGAGGTGATAAGGCTGAGCCATGGTGTGCTGACTGGTTGCTAGCACTATTGCTCAATTTTGCCTGACTACCCAGGGAAGAACTGTCCTACATGTTTAACAGAAGGAAAGAAAAAAAAAGTAAGAGTAATCAGGCTCTTTATTGCTACTACTACTTCAGCTCTACTTCATTAATAAGCCTCTCACTTCTGCAGCAATTTTTGGAAGAAAGACTTCTCTGGATTAGATGCCTTAATACAGGGATAGGCAACCTTTTTGAGCCGGGAGCCGGGTTGCTGTCCCTCAGACAATTGGGGGGCTGAAGAACCAAAAATAATAAATAAATAAATAAAAATAATTAAAAAATTAAAATAATTAAAAAACATATGCATGCACACTCTCTCAGCCCCAGGAAAGCCATGGCAAAACCCCTGTGGAGATTTTGCCAAGGAAACCCCAAGAACAAGTAATAACAGCAATAATCAATATCATCATGGTGGGCGGTGGCGGCGGTGGGGGGGCGGCGGTGGGCGGTGGCGGCGGTGGCGGCAGGACCGGCCAGGGGGCGGTCCAAAGGCCTCAGAGGGCCGCATCCAGCCCCGGGGCCTTAGGTTGCCTGCCCCTGCCTTAATACAATTGTTGGCTATAGGATTATTTAAAAATCTCCTACAAACAGTTACAGAAGGATGAGTGGCACATTCTTCTATAAACTTTGTAGTTACATGTGAACTATTCTCTTACAGATATACATTGTGCTTATACTGTTGAATATGTTATAACTGGTTATAATTACATTGTTGCACCATACATCTATCAACAAGGTTACAACAATTTGCTATAAAAGTAACTGTTGTTCCAATAGAAGGCTAGCTGATTGCTAATTGAATTATAGCTACCAAATTCAGGGTGTTTCTTATGTTTGTTTGTGCTAAATTTTGTCTAGCAAGAAATGCTGAGACAGATGAGCAGGAGCACAATATGTAGGGAAAATATTTTTAAAAGCTAGCTAAGTAACATTCAGTGGAATATGTTGTCATGTGTAATGGACAAGAGCAACTCTACCTTACTCATGCCTCATCAAATTGTTTCAGAGTCTGCCAGATATGTGTCCTAGATTACCATGTTTGTCCTTGTGGCTTTGCAGTCCCTGTGGCTTCAACTTCCACTCATGTGGCTGCAAGCACCAGAAGGTTTACTAAACTCCTGGTGAACCACTGTGTAGGTTTTGAACCCCATATGGCTTGGAAGGATCACCCAGCTGCTTAGACCTGCTTTGCAGTGCTCTTGGGTCATTGGATCTGCAGCTTTGCACCTTAGCCACTGTCAAAACAACCTCTGTTTGCTTGTAGCCTTTCCTTTGGACTACACTTTCTAACATTCTTCACAGTTTACTTTGCTGGTAACAGGCTGATGGAATTAGGTTGAGGAAGGTTGCTGCAAGACATGGAGAACTACAACCGTGAAACTTTTTTTATTTCTATGGATGTTTCTGTCTTCCCATTTCCAAGGCATCAGGTGCTTGTGACATTTACCCAGAAGAACAGATATTTGTTTATAAGATTGCTATCCCACCTTTTGATCCAATAATCCACAAGGTGGCTTATAATAACAAAGTGTAATAATATTCACACACATGCTCCTTGAAATCCATCCAGTCCAACAGCTTTTAGTCCCCTGGTGTATGGCAGAAATCAGAAAGTGTTTCCTTTTGGTTCTGATGTCTCAGGGCTGCAACACAGGTCAGAAGCATGGTTTCAAATTGCCTGTGGGCATGTTGTTGTTGTTAATCATGTTTTCCATTCATACTATCTCTCACAATGGAGTTTATTACATGGGACATATCCCATGCAGAAACTGGATTTAAACTGGAAAAAACCCCCACAAAAGCAGGTAGTTTTTCAGATGATGTTTGGAGTTAACCCAAACAGAGAGTAGAAAAACCCCACAAAAGTGGGTTGTTCTTTAGATGATGTTAGCATTAATGAAAATTAATGTGACATTAACCTGAACAGAAACTGGACAAAACCTACTCTTTTTTACTTTTAAAAAATCCTGAAAGTAAAAAGGGGTGGGTTTTGTCTGCTTTCTGTTTGGGTTAATGTCACATTAATCCTGCCATGTGTGAAAAACTACCTGCTTTTGTGAGGTTTTCCCAGTTTTTAAATCCTGTTTCTGCATGGGACTTTTGCAGCTTGGTCCTATGTGATAAACTCCATCATTTCACAGTTGGAAGATGTCTCCCAGCTTTTGCCACAGCTGGAGATGGTAGGCATGAAATCCACAACTGAACCTTATCTGGTTGGGGGGCTACATTTCTTCCCTGCCCATCTGGCATAGTTGTCTGCGAGTTGGCCAATGTCACTGGATGTGGCCAGGGGTGTAGCAATGGAGGGAGGAAATGAGGGTATTGCTCTCCCAAATAAGAATTCTTCTCCTGACCATTTTCTTCAATCCCCAGATTTCTCGCAATGCAGTCACTTAAAACTTTATTTGACTATTCAGAAATATAGTTTAGGCATCCCAAAGAAAAGTAGCAGACAAATTTATCAAGGGAATGCAAACATAGCAAATGTAAGAACAATGTAAGGTGTGAACAATTTTCAGTGCCTCTCTCTCTCTCTGTAATGCTAGAAATTGAAGGCGTGATGAAAAAAATTGATTGGAGGCACAGATTTGGAAGGGCAGTGACCCTCCCCCCCCTTTTTTTTTTGTGTCTTCCTATGGCTACAATCCTGGTTGTGGCTGCCACGATTGTCATTAAAATCCTCCCCAAGCCAGAAGCAACATTAGGGGACTATGCACTTGTTACTTAACAACCGGCAGGATCACAAATTCTAGCACTTTGCAATGGCACTAAGCACCCTCTTGATGCATGTGCCTGTTAAACAATCCCAGAGACAAAAGGCCAGCCATAGCAGGGGGTGAGCCTTACACAATGCGTGACAGGTTTCCTATTGATGCCTCCAGTGGAGTGAAACCAATCAGATTTGAAGATCTCTGTGCATAAAGATCCCACTGGGGTTTAATTATCTATTGACATCCAGGTTTAATGTTGTCCCTCCCCCCACACACAAATTCAGTGTCTTGCATAGACCAAAATGCTTGTTAATGACAATCATAAAATCACAAACCAAAATGTCCAAAAACAGAATGATCTGCATCTAATTTCATGCAGATCACTCACATTTTGGCCCAAGTAAATTTATCCCATTGTTCCATCAGAACCAAAATTGTTGGCTGTTCAGAATGCTTCACATATCTTGGTAAAATCAGTGCAACAGCTCAGTGAGATAGGCCAAGTATTCCTGTTGCCTTTTTTCAGTTATCTTGGGAGGAACAGTCAGGCTGAGCTGGGGTTCAGATTGAACTGACATTCTTCACATAGGTCCAAAACACACTGCAGAAATAATCCAGTCTGAGACCGATTTAACTGCCCTGGCTCAGTACTAAGGAATTCTGGGAACTGTAGTTTTGTGAGACATTTAGACTTCTCCTTCAGATAACTCTGGGTGCCACAATAAACTACAGTTCCCAGGATTCCCTAGCATTGAGCCAGGGCAGCTAAAGCGGTCTCAAATTGGATTATTTCTGCAGTGTGTTTTGGACCATAGTTAACTTTCCATTCACTGTTTTTGGACTGAAGGAATAATGTTTGAGAGCCAGCATGGTGGAGTGGTTTTCATATTGGACTATGACTCTGGAGACCAGGGTTTGATTCCCAGTTTGGCCATGAAACCTACCGGGTGACTTTGGGCAAGTCACACATTCTCAGCCTCAGGGGAAGGCAATGGCAAGCCTCCTCTAAAGAAATCTTGCCAAGAAAATGCCATGACCTTAGGGTTGCCATAAGTCAGAAATGATTTGAAGGCACACAACAACAATAGCATTTCATTAATCAGGTGATCAATGACCAGTTTGGTTCTTGAGCATCTCCCTGCCCTTCCATCTTCCTGTGTAGCATGTATCTCAAGTAATTTGCTTAAAAGAGGGCTGGAAAACTCCAGAAGTTGTTGGCTTCTAATACCCACCAACCAGTGGTGATGGATGATGGGGTTTGTAGTCCTCAGCTTCTATAATGCCAGCACTTCCCCAATCATGACTTAAGTAACTTGAGGCTGTCTGCTGTGTACTGAACTCTGGTTGTCTTCCCATAGCACTCTGTAGTCAGTCCATGGTCTGCATTTGTTTTCAGCTGTATCTTTTTGTGGGCTAGCCTTTTGGCAGGCATATGCATGAGACAGTGGCCTTTCTTTTCTTTTTTCCCCTTACTGTTATGCAGTTGGGGGAGACATGTGGGCAGCAGCGTGTCAGAGTGGTATGATTGTATTGAGGCAGCATTATGTACACACACCATTGCCTCGTGTCTTTTATGATCTCCCTGGCTGTGTTGCATTTGGCTGTCTTGTTTTGCATTCCAGCACAAAAGAGAGGCAGTGGCATGTTCACCATCCAGCATTATCCCCCAAAGCTCGTGCTTGCCATGATGATGAGGCATTTTGGGCTGGGCTCCCAGGAGACAGCTGGTGCCAGACGTTTCACTTCAAGGAGGCTTGTACCAACTTCAGCTAGACAAATGTTGCCAAAATATGGGAGGCGGAGGAGAGACAGCCTTTGCTGCCACAGCTGGCCTGGCACTGGTTGCTCCTGGTTCATTTTCACTCCCAAAGGGTGTTGCCATATGGGCTCACTATCCTTTTTAGCACAGCACTGTTGTGGCTGCAGTCAGAGAAAATCTTTCTCTTGTAATTACAGTTGTTTGGGTTGCTGTAATATTATAATGTATTTACAGTTGGCTCTCCATATCCACAGATTCTTTATCCAATGCATTAAATGGTCCGTGGCTTGAAAATATTCCCAAAATATATACATTTCAAACAGCAAACCTTAATTTTGCCATTTTATGTAAGGGACACCATTTTACAATACCACTTTATATAATGGGACTTGAGAATAGATTTTGGTATCCATGGGGGGTCCTGGAAACAAACTCCAGTGAACACCAAGGTCCCACTGCATTTTATTTATGTTGCTTGAGAGCCAGCATGGCGTTTCTGACTAACCCTAAGGTGAACCTTTCAAGGGGTTTTCTGGGACTATGACTCATTCAAGGTTCCTGAATGGATTTCCATGGCTGAGCTGCAAATCAAATCATAATCTCCAGAGTTGTAGTCCAGCGCTCAAACCACTGCACCACACGGGCTTTTCCTGACATGGGCCCCTGCCTTTTTCACTTCATGGGATCCAAGGCAGCTTGTAACAAATTAAAACTGCTAAAATCTCATTATACAAAAGTTTTAAAAATTAAAATAAGGAAGTCTATTAAAAGCACGATGGTACTCCTGCGCATGCACAAATGCATCACGGCCACCATTTTGGAAAACAAAATAGTGGGCATGATGTGCGCGGCCGCGTGGTGGCCTGAACCCACAGCGGCGGCGGCAGGCGGCAGCGTCAGGGGTCGGCTGGGCTGGTAAGCGGGGGCCCCTGGGCCGCAACCGGCCCATGGGCCATAGGTTGCTGACCCCTGATCTAGCATGTGGCCTTCCTCTCTTTCTACTTCCCTCCACTTTTCCTAACATTATTGTCTTTGCCAACGATTCATGCCTTCTCATGATGTGTCCAAAGTACAACAGTCTTGTCATCTTGGCTTCTAGGGATATCTCTGGCTTGATCTGTTCTAGGACCCACTTGTTTGTCCTTTTGTTTGTTCATGAGATCCTCAGCACTTTTCTCCAGTGCCACATTATCTCAAATGCATTGATTTTCTTCCTGTCATCTTTCTTGGCTGTCCAGCTCTCACATCCATACAGGGTAATAGGGAATATGATGGCTTGCTGAATTGTATGTCTTTGCATTTTAGGATCTTTTCTAGTTTTTTTCATAGGAGTTTATCACACGGGGGAAATCCCGTGTGAAAACGGGGCTTTAAAGTAGAAAAAAAACGCAAAAGTGGTCATGATTTCACATGACGTTGCTGTTAAATTGATGCTAAAATGAGGTTAATCCAAACGAAAACCCTTCATTTAAGCTTCTTTTTACTTTCGGAAAAACCCGAAAGTAAAAATGAGGGGTTTTCATTCGGATTAACCTCCTTTTAACAGCGCTTTCACATTTCACACAGGGCAAAACAGGAGAAATCCCGTTCATTAAAAACTTCCACTTTTGAGGCTTTTTTTCACTTTAAAGAGTGATTTTGCACGGGGCTCCCCATGTGATAAACTCCATAGTCGCTCTCCCCTTTCTTAACCTTCTTCTGATTTCCTGACTGCAGTCCCCATTTCTATCAATGTTTGATCCCAAGTATAAAAACTCCTTTACTATTTTTATTTTCTCATTGTCTAGGTTGAATTTGTGTAAGTTCTCCATGATCATTATTTTTGTTTTATGTTCAACATTAAGCCTGCCTATGCACTTTCTTCTTTGGTCTTCCTTAGTTGGTGTTCTAGGTCTGTGAGGTTTTTTGCTAGTATTATGGTGTCATCTGCATATCTCAAATTGTTACTATTTCTTCCTCGTATTTTCACACCTCCCTCTTCCCTATCCAAACCTGCTTTCCTTACAATATGTTCTGCATATAACTTGAATAGATAGGGTGATGCAGCCTTGTCTGACTCTTTTGCCAATTAAGAACCATTCTGTTTCTCCGTTTTCTGTTCTGACAGTAGCCTCTTGTCCTGAGTACAGATTCTCATTAGGACTATTAAAAGTATTGGCACTCCCATCTCTTTAAGGATGTTTTGTAGCCTTTCATGATCTATGCAGTCAAAGGCTTTGCTGTAGTCTATAAAGCACATGCTGATTTTCTTTTGGAATTCCCTGCTACGCTCTATAAGCCATCATATAGAATCACAGAATCATAGAGTTGGAAGAGACCACAAGGGCC